TTTTACGACAAACTCGGTACAGTAAAACAAGGGGGTATGCGGAAATAACACGACAAATGTTCTCATCAAACAATCTAGAACTCATTGTCTCAGTTGTTTGCTTTCGGGATGTTAAAGCAGCATTTTGCAGAAACCATCCACTAACCGTTTACTCCGGTGATTATTTGACGTGCTCGTGTAGAAACAGCCTAAGGACGGAAGTTCGAGAAAAGAATTCGCACGCGTTGTGCTGGAATGCTAGCATTGGTTATCGGGGTGCTTATCACCGATCTGGTTGGTCAAATACCTTGCAGTGATTTTGAAATTTATCTGAGGACCAATTAGTTAATCGAGTCAGTTCCTAGTATGCTGTTATGTCAAGAACTCAAACCCATTTTTGTCCACCACCAACCACAGTCGTTTTAACAAGTTTGGAAAAGACATTATCGACAACCTCATTGGTTAGTTAGTTTGGGGAAAGAAGGATGAATTTTCTACGTCGAGGTGCAAAGATTAGTATTGTACTTTACCTTTAAATGTTGGATTTAAACCCTGTACTGGCAGTGGAGATTGGCAAGAATGAAAAAAGTCAGTGTTTTGTGAAGAAAAGTCTGAGGATTGGTGGTCCATAGTCAGACATTAGAAGGAGATTCAAAGCTTGTGAGATGCTGGCAGAATTACACAAATTCAAGCGACTGGTGTTTGAGATTGCCACAGCGAGATGCTATTTTAAGCTTGAAAGCGGGATGTCTTGGAGCTAAATCTACTATGCCAACCGAAAATGTCAACAATCTAGCACCAAATCAATTGGCATGCAAATAAACTAGCATGTCAATTTCCAAGTACACGCGTTCGCAAGAAACTGCTAAAAGACTAATTTACCAGGTTTTTATGCTGCAAATAATGTCCCACCCGTTGATGAGTAAACGAGAGATATTCTCGTTTGACTAAAGCTGACAACCTCTAATGGCTTGATCAGAAATCAGATCTGAGCACGGTACACGTGCAAATACATGTCAGGAAAGGAGATAACCAAAAGAGGAACAGTTCCCTGGGCGGTGTTTTACTTACACGACTGTCACCTAAGGGTAGACGTACAACTTACGTCTTACCATTCTACCTTGTCGTTTTAGCGAAAGGGTCTAGGACCAAAATCGATAAACACCCACGAGCCATATTGGGTTGGGCACAAAAATCAATAGCAGCTTCTGTGGCAGCGTGATACGGAGTTCAGTGATAGCGAGCAGCACCATTTTAAACACGAAAGAAGCAATAATCGATCGAGGGAATTTCACTCATAGGGGATCGTAAATCGAAACAATAAACATAAGCTCCAAACAATGAGCCACCTAGAAGTCTGCAAGGCTGGTTTACCCAACAGCGCCGCATTATTCGACACTACAAAATCAGAATTCAATCAAGGGGTGATTTGATGTGGTGTCCGGGTGCATTGATAGTTCGAGACAATAGCCTCCTTGTTCACAATCGAAATACGCACGTTGTAAACAGCCCTTCATTGTGTTGAGAAAGTTGGCATTCTCCTGACGTCTGCAGTCAAATTCCCTCATAAACAACTTGAAGCTCAATGCATTAGCAAATGCATTCATAAATTTTGAAAAAAAAAAGACTTTTCGAGATCAAATTATTTACCGCCCCTTGGAGGTGATTTACAATACCCCCTGATTTGACAAAGCAGATTTACTTCTTAGGAAATAAGTCATGAATTTATGAAACCGACTACAGCCTGTGGAGTTTTTTTACATGTTTCAAGCCTCCAACCAATAGTAATCAAGGCCAACCTTTGGGCCCTCATCGGATAACAAATTGACCTAGATTCACGTTCCAGGAGATATAGATAAAGATGTACATTAAATAACCGCCTGAAGTGGTCAAATGTCGGAGAAGTGTTCATCTGAAAACAGAGAAATCAAGAAGTACGATGAAGTTGTGTACTCAGAGGTGTAATTTTGGCTGGCTGAAAGACACTGGTGAAGCGGATGCAGGAAGCCCCTGCCAAGGCTGAGCATGGTTTGGCCCTTCGAATGTGAGGCACACCGTGGTGCCGACGTAAGCAGACTAAAACAGGGATCCCCCGGACCGCGGTGGAGTCGGAGGATCCGTGCGACAATGGGCGCATCATTGCCATCATCACTACCACTTGCTGGCCAATCGAATTTCACCAAGGCACCCCTCGATGTACCGGCAAACAGACCGACCCTGGGAATCCAAATTACCCGTTCTGGGAATCCGATCGACGACGCTGCAAAGTGCAGAGGAGAGTTAGCACAAAAGCGGCGGGGACATTGTGGGGATAACAAACGATATAATCCGGACTCACTGTAGTCAGGCAAAGCTCCTGGGATTGTTAGAGAGGGGTTGAACAGCAAATTGACGCCTTCGGCATCGAGTTTAAGCGATCGGAGAGGCGTCCTCGTGCGAACCGACCAGCAGCTTATTTCATTGCCTATAACGGAAGTTGTGGATTTATGGCTTTTTAAGAGTGTAGATTAACTCCATAAGGAAGCCGATTCAATGCTCAAAACTTGATCATGCATTGTAGTCGATGTGGATGCGTGTTTAAAGGCTGTTTAGTGGCTCCATCACCACTCAACTCAACAAAGAGGAGCCTCTAGTCACCGGTCCACAGATTAACTTGTGCCATAATCACCCGTAGATTGATTGAGGAAGTGAAGCAAATTAGAAAAAAGAAAAGAAGAAGGTTGAGAGAATACCTGGAGTGAACGAGTTGAGCCGAATCACCACGGACTTATGGTCATTTTTCACTCACCCGTATTCAGCAAATTTATGCAATAAAAAAGCAGAGAACGACGAACTTGGTCTTGGAAATATTGTCCGTCGTTTTCCATGACCTTGCACTATGCCTCAAGTAACGCCACAAAAGAAGCTTGCAGACTTCGAGGCAATCGTACACCATTCTGCATTTTGAGCTGTTTCTCCATTAAGGCGTGCTGCTGCCGTTGCATCGACCGCAACAAATGGTAGTGGGATGGGGCCAAGTCTAGTGAATATGCACCGTGTGTGGGGAAATTTCCCGTCCCAAGTTCATGAAGGTCTTCTGAGTCGTGCAAGCATCGTGCGATGGTCGAGCATGGTCATGCAGCGGCAGCAGCAGCAGTATGGCCTTTTCTGATCACGTTCTTTGCTCATTTTGTTAAATTTTCGGCTGCATCGTTGCGCAGTCACCGTCTGAAGACCAATTTCCAGGAGTCCGTAATAAGGTACATCCTTCGTGTCCCACCAGATACACAGGAGAACCTTCCTCAAGTGGATGTCCTCTGCTTCTGCGTTGATGTACTGAGTCGCTCGGTATCTAACCACGACTTTTTGCGTTCGTGATAGTCGTAAAAAAAGTACTTTACATCACCGTCACAATTTTCTGCAAGGTGGTCGTTTTTGTTGTCGGTGGGCAAGCAGCGAAAGGCATGTGTTCATAGGTTGACCTAGAAGGTTGTGTTCGGTCAACACATTTGGGGGGAACAAACGCCCAAGATTCCGATGCGTTTGCGTTAAGTCTTCATCCAGCCGAGCTTACGATTGTGCATCTTCAAACATTCGAGACTGCTGTCACTATTCGAATCGCAAAAGTCCGCAAAAATGTTTTTCTTTTAAAATAAAATTTTAAGCTTAACGAAAAGATCTGTGAGTACTAAGTCAATACAGCTGATAAGATTGAAGGCGGCTTACAAGGGTACGAGTAGATCCAAGCCCTCGTCTCCTTGGTGGCGGAGTTGCACTCAAAGTCGCTGGTGAGTGCTGTCACGGCGGGTCCGGGGGTGCAAATACGGCCGCAGTTGTGCGGTGTCACGCGGGTCGGCTGCTTGCCATTGGGCAGGAGAGGAACAGCCCACGTGGCCTGGCACTCCCAGCCGCCTGATTCCTTCGCCTGCCGGATCTCCGAGACAACCGAGGGACCGCCACCAAGCCACAGGGTGCTGAAAGAGGTAAGAGGCCACTTCAGAGTGAACAACGTGCTGTCCTAAAAAGCACTCTGGGCGAAATGTAAGGTCTTCTTCAAAACTTTAAAAAGAAACATTTCTTCGATCTTTTGTGGCCTTGAAAGGAACAAACGCACGACAAGTCGAAGAGAGTTACATAACCCCTCGGGGACGGTAGAGCATACAATGGCAGCTAATAAACAGCACGTTCGGCGGCACTGCGTTCTACACGAATTCCAACTGCAAGCTCTGCAGGATGAAGACCTAACGCAATCGCATCAAGAGCTTGGAATTTGGGTCTCCCCCACATGTGTTGACCGAACACAACCTTCTAGGTCAAACTATGAACACATGCCTTTCACTGCTTGCCCACCGGCAACAAAAAATGCCTTCTTGCGGAAAATTGTGACGGGCATTATAAAGTACTTTTTTACGACTATCCCGAGCGTAAAAATTCGGGGGTAGATTCCGGGCGACACAGTACATCAACGCTGAAACAGGACATCCACTTGAGGAACATTCCCCTGTGTATCTGGTGGGACATGAAGGATGTACCTTATTACGGACTCCTGGAAACTGGTCCCCAGCCGACAGTTGAACAAACTGAGCAAAGAACGTGACAATGCTCGACCATCTCACGATGGTTGCACGACTCAGAAGGCCTTCTTGAACTTGGAATGGGAAGTTTCACATACACGGTGCATATTCACTAGACTTGGCCCCTTCCCACTACCATTCGTTGCGGTCGATGCAACGGCAGCAGCACGCCTTAGTGGATAAACAGTTCAAAATGCTGGACAACGTGCTTAAATCGGCCGATGATGTCTCCATTGCCTCGGAGTCTGCAAACTTCTTTTGTGGCATTACTTGAGGTCATGGAAAACGACGGACAATATTTCCAAGACTAATTTCGTCATTCTCTGCTTTATCATTGCATAAATTTGCTGAAATACATGCATAAATCAAGCCATACACGTATTAAATCGAGTAGGTTCTGGATAGGTGAGAAGTTTCAGCTGTTTTCACAGGTGAAACTGCGGCAACCAGTTTGACAGCTGATGAGATGGATAAAGAGTTGTAGCGATCTCCTCACACCCACCATGGCCATCAGTATGCGTCGAACAAAGCAACAACAAAAAGGCAATGCGAGTAAACACACTCACCCCTCGGCAACACGGCAAGCGCACAAGTAGAGATGGCCGGTGGGCAGCTGCTGTTGCTGTTGATGGTGACTGGACTTCTTGGCTGGCGCCAAACTGTTTAAGGCCCAGGTAATGACGATGCCATCGGGCTCTGTGAAGGACGCGCAACAGATCCAACCGGTCGAAAGGCCCAACACGACGGAGATGGCGTCTTCGGCTTCGCCGACAGACTGCATCCAAATGCAGTCACCTGCCATGGCCGGCTCCAGCGTCGACAAGGCCACGGAAGCCAGCAAACTCAATGACGAAGTGCTGTGACAAAAATAATCGGTAAATGACTTCAGTGGTTGAAGTGAATGTGGCTAACACGTCTATCAATGACTACGACGATTGGAGTGGGGCTAGGTGCTGGATTTGGCCAAATTACAGGTCAATCCACTTCAAAGCAAGCCTCAAATCATTGACCGAATGAGACCCGATCACCCTGAAACCATGTCGCCAGGCGAAGATAAAAGGGAGAGCTGTGGTTTGCCTGATTTCAACGCAAACACCCTTCTGAGGAGATAGCGGTCTGAGCGTTTGTTAGCGCGTAATGGCAGCAGAGGCGCCTTTTGCTAGATGGTCGTTCAGTGTTAATGGCTACTTCATGATAATAATAACAATAACAATAAGAGTTAATAGCCTCATTTTCACGGTCCACTAGGCGTGGTTTTATTCTCGATTGTGAATTAAGATAGATGGTAAGAGGGCAATACAAACGTGGATCGGTAGCCCAAAAAATGTCAGCATTGCCTGTTACGACTTGTAAAATTTCGGGCGATACTGACAAGATGACTCAGCATTTAAGCGAAGCCAGCGAATCCGTCTAGCAAGTTGACTAAGCTACAAGCGTGAAAAGTAACCTGGCCAGTGCAAAAAGAATTTGTGCTGGTTGATGGGCGAAAGGAGACACGGATTTCGGACTTACGAAAAAATCAGAAGGCGGCCAACGGAGTCGGCGCACCAAAGATGACCCTCGTGGCTCACAGCGAGTGCAACAGGGTGACCGCCGGGCAGGTTCAAAGGGAGGGCGGAGTTGGGAGGCAGAGTGGGGATGGACTGGTGCGGATCGGGCTTCGGGGACCAGGAGCACGCGAGGCAGCACCTCGAGGCGCCATCGACAACAACCAGCCTATCCTCGGAAGGGGCTTTTGTCTCCAGAAACGCTGCCGCAGCCGATGCCTTGCCTCCAGGGTCGGCGCTGTTTGGAACACCGCTACCCCCAATCCAAACACGTCCCCTCAAGTCTTCAAAAAAGACAACTTAGAATTGATTTGTTTACCAGGACAGCATGGTATGTCTGTTGTCTTTAGTGCCAGTAACTGTGCATTAGTAGTAGTAGTAGTAGTGGTGGTGGTGGTATTATTGATAGTGGTAGGAAACAGAGTGCCAATTGGATTTGCTGACGAGATCATACTGTGATCGAAACAGACTACTGTAGCGAGTAACACAACGACACCGCTGTTTGACTTTGCAGTGACAAACTAGCGCGTCCACTGCCGTCAACACACTTCACACACAACCAGACTCCATAGCTAAGAAATGTACCCCACATTCGGATTCCTGGCTTAACACACTGATACTTTATCATAAACATAGACCGGTAAATAGACACGAACGAACGCAATTGATGGCCATGGTCTAGTAGCCCAATTCACGGTCGATTACCCATCGCTAGATACCATGTTCCCTGTAGTGCAGTAACGTGCTCTAGTACGGATGACCCTGCCTTCGCTTCAGATCAAAACGGCGCCTCATCAAGGTAGCCTCACCGGAAATGGCGCAGGTCACGGTTTCAACAGCGTCGACTCGGTAGACAGTGTGAATTTGTCCGAAACCCGTGTCGGCGACGGCGGGCAGATGCAGCTGCTGCGGGTGGCTGTTTTGCGCGAGTGGAGCGATAGCGGTGACAAAGGGCGAGCGCTTCTTCGAACCCGATCGAACCTCGGCAGGTCTGGGGGCTGGCGGAAGAGGGGGAGGCGGCAGGGGAGGGAACTGAGTGACCTTGGCGATCACCTCTGCTTCCGGACGAGAGTCAGGGTCGTGGGACCAACAGGCCGTCATCAGGTCCAAATACGCCACAGGACAATGCGCCTTCACCTTGGGGTATTCGAAGACACTTTATTACTATCAGCACCAGCTAAGTTGATAGAATTAGAGGGGAATGTTTCGCCCGGTGTTAACGGTGTAGTGGGGAAGTAGGGGCATATTTATGCGATATCCGGACATTAATCTCTAGGCCGTAACTGCGTTGCCGTTTCACACATATTCAAAACACACATCCGCCTCTCTTAACGCAATACCTTACAAACACACCTGCGCACGCGGGCACAAATCACTATGCCAATCAGCGTCAAGATCATGGCTCCCCCTGTATCATGGTTTAAGTGGATTTCGCTCCTTGCGCTCTGAAACCGAAAAAAAAGATCGTGGTGGTGGTGGTGTTGGTGGTGGCAATCTATTTCCCCTATCGAGTCGTGTGATGCTTGCAGTACTGCACCGAAATTTCCATTCAGGCATGCAAGGAAAGCGTTAATGCAAAAACCGCAACAAGTGTTTGTCTGGGCGTATTGAAGCGAGCGACAGTCGGCTCTATCATTGTTTTATGACTGAACAGTCAAGCACCATACTCCCACGCACACTGTCTAAATTATTCTACAACACACTGAACTTCTAAGGCTTATTACAACGATACTTTTTATGGTGTATTTATCTGCTTTCATGAGTCCAAAGCATGGCATTGCATATGTTACTATGTAACATTGCTTGCCACTTGTCTAGCATACTAAATATATGAGGAGTTTTGGAAACAGGGGGGGTAGTGCTTGTGTCGGAATAATTTTCGATGGCGGCACACCGTGAAACGCCAGTCGAAATGGAACCAACGACTGCGAAAACGATGGTTAAGTCGACACCGTAGCTAAAAACACGTCGAAGCGGGACAATATGCTCCCAAAACCCGTGCAACTTCATGTACAGCTGCCACTTCCGTGAAAAATTAATCACCGAAACGCAAAATTTCCACCTCATGTGCTCTGAGAGTGCGATGTCCAACGGGCGCAGCAGGTGGAAGTGAGTACACCCGACTGATTGGCGTGAATTCGTTTACTTTCATTAGGAGAATTCTCGGAGATGCGCAAGAGCAGCTTTTCGGCGTGGTTGGGGTAACAAAGGGGCTTCATTGACCACTTGGATGAGACGGATGGGGACAATGGCGAGTTCCATCTCAGATCGCAACCACACAGAACTGCTCTCAGTTCAAGGGTTGGATTGTCCTGCACGAAGCAAGTGAGAACTTCGTCGAAGAAAGCGGTGCGGGCTTCGCATGGACATCGGCAATACTAGGCGTGAGGTTTTGGCGGATGTGCAGTCGAGCGAAGTATTATTACACATACACACACACAATGCAGGTGACGCTCGTGGTTATTTGTAGCGGATGCACACCCCTTGGTCATTCTTGAGTGTCAGCAATTCGCCAACCAACTAGACGCCCGCTTCAAACCCACAATGAGCACTTCAACACCTTGTGTCCAACGAAAGTGACCAATGATTGGCAGAGGATAAACCAGAGCAGCTAACCTCCGGTGGGATGGCCGGTCTGCCTCCGGACAGGATGTATTGATTCAGCTGGAAACGGAGACTCGTGAAGCCGTGGTAGGGTGGCTGGAGCTTGATGATATTCGCCATGAGGATTCCGAGGGCGTAGATGTCCACCTACAAGGCAGAAGTAATCACTGTGAATGCGAATACCACTAGTGGGTGAGTGTGTGTGTGTGTGTGTGTGTGTGCAATCGGACACAACGGACCTTGTGGGTGTACGTCTCATCACCGAAGTCCTCGAGAATCTCTGGCG